TAAGTATTTACTATGCGATGGATAAGTTCGTTTTTCACTTATAAGTTATATCCAATATGATAGAGAGGTATTTTTTTTTCCATGTGACCACGTCTTTACTCCGGAAGCTAGCATGTTCAAAAAGCTTGCGTCATTAAAACTACTCTTTAATTATCGGCCGTTTCTGTGAAACTAAAGTTAACTAATATATGCAATATCTCTATAGCATTATGTAGATTTATGACCTTACCTAATAATTAAAAGAACAACTAAGAATTATTACAATAAGACAATCATAAACATAATATAAAAAAAATCGGGGGTGGGGGCGAGTTGTGGACACGGCCGTGTGTTGTACGTGAACACGTATACGTAACGAAACTACCTATACGATGTAGATAATAGAAATGTAGCTGCAACAGCAAACTATATCCTCCGATATTGTCATCAGTTTCATATCAGTATTATCAGTTTTCTGAATTGCCTCCCACCATGTAAGCAAATTTAAAGACGTATTCACGTCAAAAGTTAACAGTTTTTATTCTGGAAACACTCGACCTTATGGTAGTGTCGACGACACAGCTGACTTCTTTTTTATTTTTAGGGGATTGCGGTTAAAAAAGTTTGAGAAACATGCCTCTGTGACTGATCAATTGTTTTATCCACAGAACTGCGTCGTTTAATAGGCATCTCTGGCTAGAACTCTTACTTTTACTGTGTCAATGTATGAAGTCTGCTTGTGAAGCTGCAGTCAGAAGAACATATCCTTGTGTCAGCCTTGTCATGTATTATAGTGAGGAAGATTAAGTCTGTTTATTATGTTTATTTGAGAAGAATATTTTAGTGAAGGTTTGTGTTTATTGTTTAATGAAACAAGCTAATGTACAGTGTATATATCATTTAATATTAGGAATAATTACCTAATTTTAGTAGTGATGGATCTCCAAAGTAAATGTGAAAATGTAAATCCTGCAGTGTGATTCAAGGAATAGTTTATAGAAGTTCACGTCTAATAATTATAACATACAGTTTTTAAAATCGCGTCTTATCTGAGAAAAACAGTAAAAAGAGGTCTACTATTACTGTCTTGGCTCCTATTCGTCCATCCTCTTACATATTTTTGCCGCCAAGTTGCAATGCGTGAACTGCTATAATATTCCAATCTAAAGGTTAAGACAGCTAAAGTATATTTACAGACTGTAAAGATTTTCAGTTTAGTCCTCAACCTTTCTATTTTAAAGTTAGTTGTAGATTAGTTTTAGTTATATTTTTAGTTGAAGCTCATATTAAATGAAAGTTCGTACATCAGTTCAGCCTTTGAAAACCTTGAAATTTTTTTATGTGTATATTACTTAATGAAATATGGGATTAAGGGTAACAAGTGCCAAAACATATTCAATTCCACCATTCTACTTTATATAGATTTTTGATAAGTGCGTATTTAATTTTGTATCTAGTCATGTATGTTGAAACCGTGGAAATTGCAGAAGTATTAATATTTAATGCTTTATTAAATTAAAATAATAAATAGAAGTGCTGTGTTCCGGTGTGAGGAGTAGAGAGAGCCAGTATAATTACAAGCTGTGTGAAGTTGGTTGCAGGTGAGCACGGATTGCACTGGCCACTTACCTTCAAGTGGACTGCAAGTTAGTTTGTCACACAGTAATGTAAAATTTATGGTGAATACGAAAAATAGGAATTTATACGTGGTAGAGCCATGCTGCAGCTATATTATGGTTGTAGCACGAATGGGTCGGCTCGACCGGGGAAGGACCACGCTCTCACAGAATACCAGCGTAAAATAGCAGCTTAACGCTGCTGTGTTTCGTATGGTCAATGTAGAGAACCGGAGACCCTTTTTACTGGAAACGAGGCATTCCATCTTAGTCTTCACGGGTGACAACGCATCTGCATTTTGATTCTTAATCGAAGATAGATGTAGATGTCTATAGGCCACAGCAACCACTTACCATCAGGTGGACTGTGTGCTCGTTTGTCTCCCTTATCCTATAAAAAAAATCCCAGTCCCACGATACAACATATGATATATCACTTTTAGTGAGAGCCATACAACATTTGCTTATTGTTATTATTATTATTGTATTACTAACCCACATATGGATTTTAATTATCTGAAATAAAGAATTTATTATTATTTGACACCAGCGTGGCGCCACTTTGGAATGAGATGAAAAACTAGACATCTCACTGCTGGGAAGTTAGGTTATATTACTAAAGTGTGAAGATTATTGTTTGTTTCAAATTTATTAGTTATATTTTGTATTCATTAGATTAGAAATGGATTTACCAAATTACGGATATTCTTTACAGTAGTAGAAAAAAATTAAAGAGCATACAACTGAAACATTGTTTTGTGTATATACATGCCATGGACCAAGTGATTAATCAAGACACTGTTTATAATGTCCGGCCAATATGAATAAAGACAAGTCAAATGGGGCTATGTAATTAATAATGATTTAAACTAAATTGTTTATCACATTGTTTGGTCATTATGAATATTGCTACGTAACTTTTGAGCAATGTGATGTAACCTTCTCTAACATCGGGAATTGCCTACACGCATACCCTTGCGGCGGCAAGGACTGGTTTTGTCGGACTTGCATCTACTAATACCCCATGGTGTTTCACCTTCGCCGCATATTGACAGGGCCACAGGAACGCGTTCACACACATCCGCGGCCCCGCCAGCGCTGACAGCCCCATGGCAGCCTCTCAGGATAGGACTTCTATTCGCTTTATTCTTCCCACAGGTAAGGCGCACCAGGAACACAAGGAGCGCCTTCCTCCATATAGGGCCAGAAAAAACGAGCGCTTGGATGCACTAGCTTTCCTGATTCCCGAACACATTCGATACCCGAGTAATAGATACCTAAAGTGGTTTTAAAAGAACAAACGATCATGGCGAATTTACTATGTAAAGACCGAACACACTTTACAAAGAACAAAATCTGTTACCACAATATCACTCAATTTATGCCGCATGCTTTTGTAAAATTATTACAGATATTATGTACACATTAGTCAGTAAAAAAGTAATCGTTTTCATAATATTTCATTAATAAAAATTCTAATATTTCTATAAGATATTTATGGATTTACTCACGTTTTTTACGACATGCCACCATTGTCACCCGTTCGTGGCCACTGACATTTTTTTCTTTCGGTTCACTTAATGTGTGTGTGTAAATTTAGAAAACGAATATGTTCTATTCATAGAACATACAGTGATAATGGTGTCTCTCATTTCGCGATTGTCAGGCTTAACAATGGCTGCCATTTTGTTCTATAGGACGAAAGTTTGGTCCTTATGACTACTAATATTTCAGAAGCCCCTGGGTCTTAGGAGATTTTACGTTACCTTACGTATATCGTTTCTTTGTCTCTTTGATCATCGGTCAAAAAAAAATCTCAGTTGCCAACTAGCCTGGCAACAACTATGGCAATGTGTGATGAGGTAATGTAAATGGGCAGTCTATTTGTATTAGTGAACATTTGTTAGGCTGTAACAATTCAACTAATTATTAATTTGTTAACATCCGCGTTTGATAAAGAATATAATATTTTACCCGATAATCTTGAAAGATAATTGTCATATATTTGAATCACACCAAAAGGATTTTTTTTTACCGAATCCTGTAGTGCGCAACACTGAAACTGCACCGCTGCAGCTGTACTGCTTTTTTTCCTTGTTTCTTCTTTCCATTTTTGTCCTGTAATTTGAAATACCTGTTAGGATAACAGTCTACAACCCCTCTTATAAAATTAGTGACAAACTGTTCTCCGATGGGTTATTCCATGTTTGGTAAAAATCTCTTCTACTTCTTGGTTAACAAATTCTAGGCCATTATCAGTTTTAATTTTATTACCTGTTTCGATTTCAGCTATGACTATAAAGTTCTGTATACACTTTTTCACATCATGTTTTCCTTTTATAAAAAAAACATGTCGGTAATGTGAATAATCATCTTTAAATACAACAAAATATCTTGAACCTCCAGCTGATGTCTCGTCCACCGCCACAAGTGTCAGCATGAATTATTTCACATGTTTTTGTCGCTTTTGGGAAATAGTAATCGATGTATTTTACCTTTATAAGGCCGAGGAAACTAGAGATGAAAGCAATGTATAACAAACAAAAAGTGAAAAATAATAATTTTATGATGAAAATAATGTTTTGATTTTTTTGGAAAAGCTTTGGGAAATTTTTGGAAAATGTGGTGGCAGTTTTGTTGCCACAGCCTGTCAATAAAACGTATTTTTCAATTAAGTATACTCTTTATTACGAAAAAATGATAGCAAAGTAAATGCAGATCCATCTGGTAGTTCGCCGTTTTGGTATATTTTCAGTTCTGCTGACTATGAAATATATCAAAACAAGGAACCACACAAAGTGGCACTTTACATGTAGAGCATTGTATTTTCGATCTCTCATTCCGTGTTTTTTTGCTACACACACGACAACGGCGCCATGAGCCCAATTGCTCATGGCGATGACTATCCACGTTTGCCAAGCGTATCTCATCCGCCACGCCCACAATTTTTTGTCGATTGGTGGAGATTTTTGGCCGTTTCATGGAGTATTGGGGCTGGCTCTCCAGGCTTCTCTTCCTAGACGAATAATTGTTGATGAGACCACGGGCCAGACACAACCTAAAATGCAGTTGTGAAAGTGGATTGTGTACCCTCTTGTTTGTAGAGTAGAGCAAAAATCAATTTGTGATGGCCAAGTCTACACAAAAATAGAAAATTCGGAGCCACCACCTCTTGCTCCTCCTGTCAACTTCGTAAGTGCTCCGCTTCTTTTCAAATCGGTCTACTGCACCCATGCGCTCTGTATAATGTAGTATGGTTAGTGGACATTGAATAGCCTTTTAGAACCATCTTTCGGAGTTCGATCACAGAATGTTTTATTTATTATTGGATGAAAGGCAGTAGTCAGAAGTGTAACAAGTTTTGTGTCTTGCATTACAAATGCTACATTATTTTTGGTGCGCCATCTAAAATCGCCTCTTGCCAAAGATATTTTTTTGTTTCTTGGTAAATTCTTGTTTTTCGCCGTTTTTATTATGAGTAGGAGTAGGTAGGTCTGGTCTATTGCTGTTGACGGTAGATGTGGCGTATATACCATTATTGAATAGATATTGCAATATTTCATAGGATGTGAAAAAGTTATCGAAAGTCACATGTCCACGGAACCCCTCATCTATTAGCTTCTGTGTAAGAGATTTGACAACATTGGCTCCTAATCCGAATTCTGTTGATTGGTCATCACGTTTCCCTGTGTAAACTTGAAACTCAAAAACATAGCCAGTTTCGCTGTCTGCTCTAGTCCACACTTTATATCCTCTTTTTATAGGTTTTAGTGGCATATATTGTTTCAATGATGAGATGCCTTTGAATTGTATCATTGACTCATCTATAGATTGGGAAGTTGCGGTTTTTGCAGAACTTTGACAAGCTTTATTGAGCATCTCAAAAAGCGGGCGAACTTTGTACAGTTTATCATAACCAGGTGCTTGCTCTCGGCGGCGTCTTCGAATTGTCGTTCAAATGTATATTTTATAAGATCGGATATTGATGGTTGAACTTCAGCAGAGCTTGTTGAAGGATCTTCAGTATGTAAGCTATTTGATGAAGCTGACTCTACAAGGCCTGATGCGGCACCTCCTCAACCCCGGAACAAAGAAGGACAGTATCCATATCAGAACCACTCAGTATATTACTGACATCTAAGTCGGTAAAAGTTTCTGGCACATTCGTCTTCGGAAACTTCGGGATCGTCAGGAAGACCAAATAAACGCTGCAATTCGTCCTCGATAGCTTCATCGTTCAGAAGTCGCAGCATTTTTACCTACAAAAGAAAAAACAACAACTTGAACACCAAGCCATGCACCACACACCATAAGGCAGAGGCAATTATATTGCCACCTAAACAAATTCCATTGCCTCTTAAATCTCAGATGCCTTCTCAAAGAACAAAAGGGCGTTCATTTTTGAGTCCTGAGTATTGCGAGGTAGGAGATGACATTAAAGCCGAAAGTCCTTCATAAAAAACAAAAGAAACATCGTCAGTAAGTCCTAAAAGCTCAACACCGGTTTAACCAGACTATGGCATAAAATTTTTCCTAGATCAAACATTGTTCATAAATGAGAAAAAATGTATTTACACTAACTCAAATTATCCATATTTTTTTCATTTGTTAAGGAAAAGAACAGTTTTTATTGGTTTCTTTTTATTTTCATCACAATAACTAAATCAGGAGTAACATCATTATCATATATAAACTTAAGAGAATTCCTAAGTAGCAAATAACGATCTCGCACCATAGTTCTTACTATAATTGGTACAGAATACTTCGTGTCAGTACATGCGAATTTGCGGGCAGCCAAAACATCCCATTAGTATTATTTTATTCCAAAAATAAAAACCTATGCATTCTTCTAGGGTAAAATTTTAAACATTTTGCGGTTTTTCAAAAGCAATTTGGTTACTCACTGTAACTTTTATATTCACCAAATATTCGTCTATGTGTTCATAAAGGTATTCTATCATCGATGATTTTGGTTCAGAGGGTCGTTATAATGGCTGTAGCAAAGCAGGGACTTCTTTGTTGAAACTTGATCTTATCCAAGGGGTAGGTGGTAGCTTGTCCACTACTCCTAAAAACTATAGCTCCACCACGCGTATGTGTAAACAGTAGTGGGTTTCTCTTTCCGAACATTGCAGTTTCACAATACATGTAAGGCACAGTCAACATTTTTAGTTCTTTAAAACGAGTTCTGCAGCTATCCCTCCCTCTTAACGTTTTTATGGCTCTAACGCACTTTTTTTGAGCTCTAAACACCTGCAGTTTGTCAGTACAGTTACCCCAAAAGATTATACTGTAACTTAGGATGGAGGCAACATATTCATTGTAGGTTGTAACTACTTTCTCTGTATTGGCTATTCTAGATAGAGCTTTTAATGCAAAAACAAACTTGTTTATGCGTTTTCATAGAAATTTTGTTGATATGACCGGTTCTGTAACTTCATTTTCATATTTTACTTCAAGTTGGGTGACTGTGTATATTGTCGGAAATGCATTATTTTAGTTTTGTTAATGTTAATGTTTAAGTTGTTTTTGTCAAGCCATTTTATTATATTAGTCCATGTTATTATAATTTCATTTTCATAAGTCATGTTGTTTTTCAGTGTGCTATCATCAGCAAATAATGTCATAGAGTATTCGATACTAATTGGGAAATCGTTAATGTTACAATACTTGGTCCTCTATTATTACAGAGGGCCAAATATTGCCCCTTGTGGAACTCCGTACCCCACTCTCTACATTCAGATAAATATTCTTTTTTTAGTGTCGTCTGTTTGGAGATACTTTGATAGCAGTTTGTTGTTTTCTGTTGCTAAGGTATGAGTCTAAAACTTGCAACGCAATTGCTAACTTGCTGATTTATTACAAGTTCTTTAGAAAATGACTTTTCTATTTCGTGTCTAAAAGCGGATCGAAAACTGAGATTTTCTTTGTAAAACGAGATAGATAATGTCTTTTTTTTATAAATCGACAACTATTAAAGCCTTTTCCAATAAATCGGTATCATTAAAATTTGACAGTGGTAGGTTGCAAGACACTGAAATTGGAAACAATTTCATTAATTCCTAGAAGGCGCGATCTCAGATGGTTAACGATCATGTCTATCGTCTAATACACGATAGAATATGTTCACTTTAAACAAACTCAGGATTTTGGAGACCCTTTGACGAGTTTTAGGAATTTCGGGGTTTATATACCATTTATTTTTGCGATATTATTTGCTTAAGTTTTTAAATCTCCAAATTCATATTAATACTTTTCAAGGTTTTCCAGACAGACTTGCAAGTGCTTTGAGGCATTTGAAAGATCGAAAATCGAAAGGCTTTGAATTGAAGTGCTTTATTTATTCTTTTTTGAAATACGTTACCTCCACAATAGGACTTTCTCCTATATCGTGGGGGCTTTAGAGGCCGCATCGAAGCTCTGTAAAATTTTGCAATAGGAAACCAGTAGTAACATAATGAAGTTGTAGTTTTCGACATTCTTCTTCAGTGAAACAGCTTAATTTCTCTCATTTGATTTGAAATTTAATAGAATAGTTTTGTACGCGCTTTTTGAACTTCAACAAACCGAACTTTTAAAGCAAAAATGACATCGAAACGTCCTGCCCATCTAGTTGGATTTATGTTAAGATCTTCCTGTGCTCTCGGCCCGGCCTGTCATCCTATTGTTACGCCACTGCATTGCCTACTCATATTAGGCATTATGAATAATGTCCAATTAATCACTTGGTACATAACATAATATGTACATACACTAGAAACAAAAAAAACTTTTAAATAAAATATTTTTTTGCTATGATAATGACACTGTGACAGATAAGTTCACCCCAGTCCCGACTAGCGACGGCTGATGAGCGGAAGATTATTAGTCCTTTGGAATTTAAAAATATGTAAGGTGCCATGTGTATGCAATCAAAATTTTTTGTTACATTTCTACATTCCACAGGCTAAAATGTGATGCCTTCATAATAATGATGTTATTTCTAAAACATCTTATCCATGTCAAGATTTCAGCCGGCGTACACTAAAGTGAATTTTCAATTAATCTGGATTATTATATCCATGTAAAGTTTCGGGGGTGAAGTAACAATGTATAAAATGTTCACTGTACGAAGTAAGTCATTTGGGGAATGAATGTGGTAGAGTATCTTTAATGCGGTGTTAGAATAAGACATATTTATTAGCTGTAAATATTTTAATGTACATGTGAATATAACTGTTTTTACAATATAAAATTTTAACGTGGACAGTATTTTATTGAAACTCCTTTAACAAATTCCATTTTTTTATTAATCTAAGCCAGCCCTTGAATCCTACCTGATGGTAAGTAGTGATTCAGCTAAAGATTGTGAAGTGTACTGACTTAACAAAAGCCTATTCACTCTTGCCCTGAAGACACCCACAATTTAATCGGATGGAAAGACAGATGCTTGCAAGTTACTCCACTCCTATGCTGTACGCATAACTATATGAAGTAAACCGTTTAGTTCGAATGCGTGGTAAGTCAACAACGAAAGGGTGGCGACTGACCAAGCGTCTGCTTGTGGTCGACCGATGGGTGGTAATTAAGTTATGTATTTTCTGCGCACACATCGAAGTTCATCGTGTAGAATACCAAAAGGCTGGATACTTTAAGCCTGTGTTCGTGACACGTGTGATTGGTTTTAACCAGATTCGGGTCATCAACAAGCCTCTTAGCACGCCTTTCCACTGAGTCCAAATCTGCTGGCATTTTGCAGCCCCAGCACATTTATGGCAGCAATACTCCATGCATGACTGGACTTGCGCTTTACATAGAGTAAGCTGCTGTCCCGGCGTGAAGTGCCACCGAACCGTCGCAAGGACTCCTTTTTTCCTTGCAACTGCTTTGGCCTTGGAGTCAATGAACTGCCCAAAGTTTAAGTTTGAGGAAATATCAACCCCAACAAATAAAGGCGATCGGGGTATATCAGTATTTGGAAAAGAAGGAGTCAAGATGAGCTGGCTTATTTTTCCAGTGTCGAAACAGGCTTGTGTTTCGGAGACGTTGAATTTCACAAGATTGAAATTCAACGTCTCCGAAAGACAAGCCGATCATCGCCTCATTCGGAGACGATGTTAGGCTTATTCGGATAGCTTCTCTTTTGAAGCTAGATTTGATATCAAATTGTCTGAGCACTCGGTTAGTGTTTCGTCACAACTGTACTGTCGTTTGCATACCCATAGATACTGGACATAAGCATATCATTAATCTCAATAATATTATTTTCTACGTGGTAGAGCCATGCTGCAGCTATATTAGTAGTATAGTTGTAGAACGAATGGGTCGGCTCGACCGGGGACCAGGTTAACGCTGCTGTGTTTCGTATGGTGAGTGTAGAGAACCGGAGACCCTTTTTACTGGAAATGAGGCATTCCATCTTAGTCCTCTCGGGTGACAACGCATCTGCACATCTGCATTTTGATTTGTAATAGAGGATAGATGTAGATGTCTATGGGCCGTAGCAACCACTTACCATCAGGTGGACTGTGTGCTCGTTTGTCACCCTTATCCTGTAAAAAAATGCAGCAGTTCTAGATTTCAGCACAATTGTGAATGATTAATTAAAATTACTTGTTTGAAAAATCAAAAACATTTCCGGTACATGTGATGTAATTGTTTAAAAATCCTTTCAGGTATGAGAGAAGGCCTGCGGCACCATTTTTTTTCTTTTTTTTTAAACGTAACCTCTACACTAGGATTTTCTCCCGTATCGTGGAGGCAGTTTACAAACACAGATTCCATGAGGACAAACATCC